ATTTTGATGCTAAATCAAATGCAGTTGGTTGTTACTTTTGAATGCTCAGTTCTACTACGCAGACTGTACACCTCACTGTGTATGTTTGTGCGTGTTCACACTGCAGGCCCGGGGAGGTGGGGAAGAGGAAGCACATCTGCCACGTCCCCGGCTGTGAGAAGACATTCAGGAAAACGTCGCTGCTCAGAGCTCACGTCCGACTGCACACTGGCGAAAGGCCCTTCGTCTGCAACTGGGTTTTCTGTGGGAAACGCTTCACGCGCAGCGACGAGCTGCAGCGGCATGCCAGGACACACACAGGTCTGTCTGCTGGAGAAACACACACAGAAACACACACATACACACAATGGCTCCAACGAAAGAAGGATACCTCATGAATAAGAGTGGGTGAGATAAAAGCTACAGCTTGTGGTGGCAGTTTTAACCACTTCATCAAATCCAAACTGAAAGAACAAAAGAAAGAAAACTAGTTCATCCATCACTGATCAGCTGGGAGAGGCTTACTGAGGTCACATATTAGGAATTTTGAGTAGTAAAGTTCAGATGTCCCTCTCACTAAAAGTAGAAAAAAGCAGTTATTTCTGACATTCATTATCATCTTATTGGATGTTTCCAGTCAGGCTACTCACAGCAGCGTCTGCTGGGCAGTAAATATGAAAAAAGACAAATAGGGTAAGTGACTATCAGCAGAGATTATTATAAAATCAGATTAGTGATAAGAGATACAGCTCTGTGTGCAATGAAGAAGGCATTTGGTTTAAACATCTGAGCATTTACGTCTCTGAGGTTTCTGATACATGAATATAATCTATTTGAATGCAGTCGTGTTTGCACAGAATGTAAACTGCAATGTAGTAAAAACAGAACTTAAAAATAAAAAGATGAGCCAAAACTTTAACAGTAAAAAATGAAATATTTTAAAATAGCTGTACGAACACTATCAACTGACATAAAATAGAGATATTTCTCAAATGTTCTAGTACACCGGTATATTAATACAGGAACTAGGAATACTGCACTATCAGCAAGTATATGAATGAAAATATTGATTTATCGCTGTCGTTTTGTCCCCCCACAGGAGACAAGCGCTTCGAGTGCAGCCAGTGTCAGAAACGCTTCATGAGGAGTGACCACCTGACGAAGCATTACAAGACTCACATAAACACCAAGAACCTGTGAGCTGCCTGTGTACTGAGTGTATCCACAGACAAACTCTCTTAAACTGAAGACTGTATTAGAGGAAGGAGGGGGCAGAGGAGACGATACCAAGGGAGTGTCTGTGACTTATCCTATTGTGGGAAATACTCCAAAAAAAAAGTCCCTATAATCCCCCCTCACTCCTCTCGGACACTGTAGCGTGGTGTACAAAGAAACCCTTCCTGGTGGAAATTTATTGATGATAGTTTATCTTTGTTTTCTTCTTCGGTCTGAGCGGAACCAGCTCTGAACGCGTAAGATGACGAGATGGCGAGGCTTCAGACGCAGACGCTTAACTCTGCTTGCTTATTTATGAACTGCTCTGGGGGAAGAACGTACACAGAATTATACGCCAAAACCAAGACCACAGGACTCCAGCTTCCCTCTCTTTTGTTTTTTCTTCTCCCCAAATCCTGCTTGTTTTTTTAATTTTATTTGTTCGTTGTGGATGTTCCACAGCAAGCTCCCACAAATTGGCCGTCAAAACAGGAAAAAATTCAACACCATGTTTCGTAAACAGAAATTTGTTTTACCTCGGAGGAATGGTAATTTAGTTTGAAGCTGTTGATGTTTCAGAAGGAGTTTCTGCTGAGTGAAAACATGTACACCCCAAAAAGAAGTTGGGGACCATTACATAAAAACTCCCCTTACACGACTTTTGAAAACCTTTAGAAGTTTACACCGGCTATTTTTAAAGTGTGTATATGCATACTATTATACATAATATTAATAATGATAATAAACTATTTATAACATTTTTCCATACAATTGTTACAGGTTGATTTACAAAGTAGGTATGTAGAAAAAAACGGAAGCTGACTCAAATAAGACTCAAGTTAAAGGCCTAAACTTTTACATCAGAAATATAAAGAGGATGTAAAAACAACATTTTATCACGTGCACACAGTTTGCTTTGAGGATTACTGATGGGACAGAGCTCTTCCAGCAGAGCGATCCAATGCCCGGCATCTCAAGTTTTAAATGCAGTCACTTAGATGACCAGACCTGAGAACAAAAGAGGCCTGGAAAGAGGTTATTATGCAGTTCAGGGCCAGAAGTCACTGTGCCTTAAAGTTTGTCATTAAAATTTTAAAATCACTTTGCAAAAATTGCTGCTGAAATTTAAGTCGTTTGGTGAGGATCTCGACTCCTGCCAGAAAATATACATACAGTCGACCAAATGCAACAAAATGAAGGTAAAAAAAAAGAAATTTTCTTCACTGTAAAACCAGATAAGTTAATTTAACTAAATAAAAGTGTTGAAACTGATTATATCGAAAATTTTAAGTAAAACTAACTCAATTTTGTAAGTTAAAAAACCTTCTTTATCAAGTGACACTGACTTCATTTTGTAATTTTTATTTGTACTGTGAAAAAAAAAACCTAGTACAGTAAGTAACAGTACTTTAAAAGCGATGTTTCTTTAACTTAAAAAATGTAGACAGAATTTTTTATGTAATCCATTTCAAGAACTTATTTGAGTTTGCTTAAAATGAGAAGAGAAAGAAGATCTTTGATTAAAAAAATGGAATTGGATATCACAGTCAGACTTGGTAAAGCTTAGCAAGTTTTCAAATATCGTCTTGTGTCTGGTTGGTAGAGTTTTGTGGGCAGGGACAACATTATCGGGATAGTTTCTATCAACAATAAAGAAATCTGGACATTCTGCAAGGTGGAGTCTCCCGTTTTCAGAGGTACATCTAAAGCTCACACTAGTTAAAATAACGGATTAGGTCTAATGTCACAAACTGCAAACATATAATTGAAGAATAATAGAGGACCCAGGATTGATCTCTGTGGAACACCATGTGGACCATCAGCATTATGTTGTGATCGGTCATATCAAACGCCGTGAATTTGACACGGGAAGCACGATGTACATCCGTCAGCTGCAAGGAGGAAGTTGTTGGTAACATCTCAGATGATTCAAAGACCTGACTGAAGGGTTCATTTATGCTGTCGTGGAAATACTGTTAAGTCAAAAATGGGAGTTTAGACAGTTTTGTAATTCAAGAGATCCAGGTTTTGTTTTGTTTCTGTTGAGGTTCGACAATAATGATGATTTCACATATGAATCTATGTATACTACCTAAAAAAAATCCTCTTATCTTTAGAGAAAAGCTGCAAAAACTACTTTCTGGAGGCTTTCATTTCTTGTGCTCTCTAAGGGGCGACTGGGCTGATATGACGAGAAACAAATCCAAGAGTTATTAAAAGTTAAAGAAATAAGGTCAGAGAGGTCTCCTGAGTCTCCAGGTGCTAAGGATTGAATTCATTGATATATTAGTAATAAGAGGAGTCGGTCACCCTGGTGATAAACCCGCTCACACCCCTCTTTTCACTCTGAGAACCAAACCAGGTTGCTACACAGTTGGTTATCCCTCTTGGATACCACGAAAGGTACGCTCACATCTCGGGCTGGGTATCGAATTTCAGTACTTTTTTTGTCCTGACTGGTACTTGTTGTTTTATCACATAGTTCCTGATTTTTAGATTTCTGAGTTTTAGACATTTTTCTGTTAAGGTTAAAGTTCTCGAATGGTTGTATGTTTTTAGACCATATTTCATTTACTAAAACTTGTTTTGTTAACCAAAATGTTTTTTTTTTTTTTTTTTTACTTGAGAGGTTTAAGTTTTTATTATGGTGTATATTTTAGAAAAACCCTGTTTATACTTCTCAAAGTGCGGTATCAAAGAAAGTACAAGTTTGGTACTTGAACCAAACGATACCCAGCCCTACTTACACTTTGTGTACTAATAAATAATAACTAAATTCCAGGGTAACTCTGCTATTCTGCTTTACTTACAGTATAATTTTGTTTGTAGCCTATGCATTGCTGTATATATGATCAGATTTCCAATTATTTGGCCTGACTTGACAATCACGTCTCGAGATGAAGAAAAAAAACAAACCTTTCTCAGGCCTTTGATCAGTTACTTTGTACATGAATTTTTCCAGCTATGTGATAGCTTTAATTCTTAACTAACACTTGAGAGGTTTTTGTTGATATACAGACGACCAGCATTAGGCCTAATGTACAGTATTCACACAAGTTACTTTAATATCTTTTTGCTTTACAGGAAACTTGCTGTTGCTGTTTTTGATATAATGAAGATGTACTGACCTTCTGTGGGAGTTCCTTTCATTTAAGAAATATACCGATGTATTGTCAAAATAAGCTTTTTGGTCAAATTAGCCATCAGACAGCAGGTAGCTTCTCCACCTCTGTGTTGAGTTTTCACTGTGGTGTGTGTTAATACTGTGACATACATGTTTAATGGATGGTGCTGCCTTTGCTAAAAATGATCCAACAGCAACTTCTTCTCTGTACACAACAGAGAAATTTGACCAAAAAGCTAAAGTCCGATTTTTAATTCTTCATTATTTTTTTTTTTAAATGCACTTTGAACCATTTTTTCCTCGAAGTGCTTCACAGGGGCGACAGATAACGTAAAGCTTAGGTGGCCAATATTTGGTGTATTTTTTCCAGAATGTGTCTGAAGACAAGCGATGCCATTGGGATGGATAGACAGAGCCTGCTCATATTTATGTTTGTATTTCATGTCTGAATATGTAAATACAGTGTGTGTCTGGTAGACACGGTAAATGTAGGATATTAGAAAACAAAAGTTAAAGCTGCCTAGTGTTGTGGTTGGCGTGGCCAGCCCTGAAGGAAGTGGACTTTGTACAGTGTGTAAGGAATAAAATATAATGTGACATTGTATAGCTTCATTCCTGCTTTGTATAAGACTTCTAGATCTTTTTTCTATTGAATTAAAGATGCCTTAGACAGCTGCACCCAGTATTTAAAGATGTTTTTTTTTGTCTAATTCCAGGTAACAACATTTGTAAAATTCCTTTGTGTTTTTAACTTATGTTACATGCTAATGTAATGTGCACTGATTTAAAATCCCAGGTTCCAAAATTTGTAAATTTAATCTTGATTGTAATTAAATATAATGAGATTTTCCAAATTAAGACATTTCTATTGCTTGGTTTCTGTGAATTAAATGCTTCTCCTTCTCCAAGCCTATATGTCAGTTAATGTTCTGCAGCCAACTGTTTGTGTTCATCAGGAGAACCCAGAGAACCAGCAATTTATTTTATAACTTGTATAAAGGTGCTAAAACATCAAGTTTGCTCCTTTTTTACACATCACCCCCTCCAATAAAGAAATCCAACTGCTTGCTGCTTGTTTTATTTTGTATTCCTACTCCCACCTTGGAGTCAGTTATAGATAAAAACACCTGTAGTGTTTAAGTAATTGCATAAATTAGACCTTATAGTTTCAGAATCAATTCCATCATTATCCCTGATGTTTAAACAATCCACCAACTTCATCAAGATGGGGACAGGCATCCAATGTGTGACATTAAAATAAATTAGGAAAATATAAAGCTAAACAACCATAATTTAACCCCCCCCCCCCNNATAAAGCTAAACAACCAGATAACCCCAGGTGGTTAAAAAGTATTGATACCCTGAAAATAACTCACAAAACATCATAAAAAGACTGTTATAGAGATATATTTCAACACAGTCACACCTTATGGAATGAATTATGACAATTACTGGTCAACAGAAACATTTTAGTTTTGAAATGTAGTAACATTAATAATTAAAGGATTTTTTTAATGTGGCAACATCGTAATTCAATAAATAGCCAAATTGTATTAACACAAGTGCACATTTTACATGTTAATCGACATTTTTCAGCTCTTGAAACGCACTTTAAATGAAATGTAATAATAATTTAAATAAAACAAAAAATTTAATTTATTTTGTAGAATGGGACATTTATTTTGAAAATCTTGTAGCGTGCGTCATCAGGAAGCAGAGGTGTTAGCTGCTAGCTGGATGACAGCCGGTAATATCTGAAGGTTTCTGATCTTAATTAATGACTTTAGTGGTGTTGTTGGGTTGCAGTGAGCACGGTTACAGTTTTATCTACAATATGTGTGTGTCAGCGTCGCACTG